CTAAAAGCATACCTCCACATGAAATAATTCACTATTTGAAAAGATATTTGGGTGGTCCAGCAAGAGAAGCTGTAGCAATGTCTATGACAAAGCCAAGGTAGTCTTGGAGGAAATCCATTTGCAGTGACACAAGCATTTAGAAGTAAGATAAACTCATGGCCAAAAATTGCAGGCAGGGATGGTAAGTCATTACAATGCTTTGCAGATGTCTCATAGCAATGAAATTCATGCCAGATATGAAAATCCTCAATGACGTTCAAGAATCAGAAAGATGCTACAAAACTACCAGAATGGCTTGTGAACTGATGGGCTTGTATAGTCCATGAAGCTAAGAAGCGTATCCTTCATTTGAAAGATGTGTGTCCTTCATGCGAGAAGAAGCAGATATTGCTTGTGACCCATTAACCTTGGTTGAGACATTGAGGTTGTCAAGAGACCATGAAGAAGTACCAAGTCTTATGACAAAGAAACGCAGACAGAGAGGAAGTACATTGTCAACCAATGCTGAACCTACAGAAAGTGGCCAGCAATGTCGTTTCTGCCACACACATGGACACATGATCCAAGAATGTTATACCTTTGCTGGAAGATCCATGCCACAGAGGCAGGAGTTTATCAGAAAAGGTGGCTATTGTTTTGGTTGTTTGAATATTGGACATGTGTATAGGAAATGTCAGAATCGATGCACATGTAAGAAAGGTAATAAAAGATATCCTACAAATTTATATAATGGTGTCTCACGGCAACAAGAAAAGTTGATGTCATCAATGATTCTTCCAGTGGTATACGCTTTATTGGACACTCAGTCAGATACTACTTTTATTTTAGAGCATTCATCGGAGCAACTAGGAACAGTATCAAGGCCAACTAACCTGCTATTAACTACCATGACTTCTAGTGATCGAGTTGTGCAGTCCAGAAGGTATTCCAACCTTCAAGTTCTACAACATATTCGCTACAGTATATTCCAGTTGAAGAATCGCATATCCCTATTCCAAGTACTGTGGACAACTTTCCTCACTTGAAAAAAATTTCACATCACATACATCCCCTACAGAAATGTGAGATTGGTTTATTGACTGGATATGATTGCCCTCAAGCACTTGCACCTCACAAGTGTAACTCATAAGGTAGTTACTAAGAAGACACCAGACTGTTTACATACAAATTCCTATATAAACAGAAATGGCGTAGAACACATTGAAAAACAGTGTACACCATCACAAGTCAATTATGTCTTCAAGTCTAGTGCAAAAGAATTAATGGTGAATCCTTCCGATATAGTGAAATTCTCAAATCAGATTTCAAGGAGACCAAAGATGAGAACATAACAATCTCACAGGAAGATATTCGGTTCTTGGAAATCATAGAAAGTGGCATACATAAGGGAGATGATGGTTTTTATACCACGCCCCTTCCCTTCAAGCTTGACAAACCAATCCTTCCAAACAATAAATTGATGGCGGACCATCGCTTGAAGCACTTGAAACATCGGTTCAAGTCAGACCCAAAATACCTAGATGACTACAACCACCCTAACAAAACTGAGAAAATTCGTGTAGTCATTGACTGCAGCACTAGATATTGGTAATAGTCTTAATGACCTTTTGTTACAGAGTCCTGATCAGTTGAATTCACTCATTGCCGCTCTATGTCGTTCCCAAAAGGAAAAGATTACTATCATGTGTGATATTTGAACGCATGTTTCATAGATTTAGAGTGAACAAATAACACAGAGATTGTCCTAGATTCCTTTGGTGGAAAGATGGAAATATTGACGAGCCAAGTGTGTTCAAAATGAAAGTTCATATCTTTGGTGCCGTATCTTCCCCAGGATGTGCTAACTATGTACTTTGCCAAAGAAAATCCTCAGTATGGCCAGAAAGCAGTTGACTATATCTTTAAGAATTTCTATGTAGACGATGGTTTAGAAAGTGTCGACTGTGTACCAGAGGCTATTAAACTTATTCAAGATGTTCGAAACCTCTGTGCAGATGGTAAGCTTTGTTTACACAAGTTCATTTCTAATGATAGATCAACTGTGGAATCTTTACCAAACTTTGAACGTGCCAAAAACATAAAGGACTTGGACCTTTCATTTGGTAAGCTGCCGATTGAAAGAGCTTTGGGAATTGACTGGTGTATTGAATCAGACTCGTTTCGATTTAAACCAACTGTTAAACATCATATACCAACAAGGCATGGTATACTGTCTGCTATTGCCTCGATATTCGATCCCCTCGGTTTGCTTGCACCCTTCATACTTCGAAGAAAACTTATCCTACAGGCAATGTGCAAGAAAAGGATTGACTGGAATAAATCCATACCAAACAGCTTACAGCCAAAGTGCGATTCATGGCTCCCAGATCTATCTCGACTCACTGCTGTGAGAATTAAAAGATGTTTCAAGCCTGAATACTTTGGAGTTTTGAAAAAGGTGGAATTGCATCACTTCTCGGATGCCAGTCTGACAAGCTATGGTCAAAGTTCGTATCTCGAGTGGTTGATTGTTTTGATAACGTTCATTGCACTTTCGTGATGGGAAAAGCAAGAGTTGCACCCCTAAAGACAGTATTATGTAAAGACTTCTTGCATAAAGAACTAGATTACAAGAACATAGAAAACTACTTTTGGACAGATTCAAAGGTAGTCCTTGGGTACATCAACAATGAAGCCTGTCGATTCACACATACGTTGCCAATCGTATACAAAGAATCAAGGATACCTCAGCTGCTGAACAGTGGCACCATATTAATACAGATGAGAACCCAGCTGACCATGCATCTTGAGGTCTCGATGTTAATGGCTTGCAGAAATCAACTTGGCTTATAGGCCCTACTTTCTTATACAGAAAGAATCTAAAAGTCCCTGAGGTAACCGAATTGAGTATCACAGCAGATGACCCAGAATTAAAGAATACAAGAGTGCTTGCCAACACCTCGGGGGGACTACCCATGCAAGATCGTTTAAACTATTTTACGGATTGGTCTTGGGCTGTAAAGGCAATTGTGATGCTGAAGCAGTACCTGTCCAAGAAACAAATTCTGACTCCAGTGGAAAACAAGCAACTAGCAGTATTAACAATAGTGAAGTGGGTACAGCATGAAGCATATGCTAAAGAGATATATTTGTTTTCACTAAAACCTTATTTAGATGAAAATGGAGTACTACAGGTGGGAGGTAGACTATGCAGATCACTCATGTCTGATCAGATAAAGCATCCTATCATTTTATCTAAGAAAAATTCATGTGACAACTTTGATTATTAGATGGCGAGTACCTAAAACTGAACAAACAATCATGTAATTAGAACTCAATATTTATTGTGGTGAACGTGGTGATAACTGGAATGACAGAAAAATAACTCAAACAAAGCATAGTCTATTTCACCGAGAAACAGACACTAACCTCGATTTGCATAACCACTGCGTCTATTAAGTTTGCGGCGCATTTCCATAACAATAGCATCCAAACAAACACTGATCGACTTTTGGGGAGGAAATGATTTGGAGAAAAAATCTCAGGAGCATTGTTCTGCGCCAGAAACGGGGAAAGAAAATCAGAATGGTTTTCACGCTACCTCTGGTTGAAGTACAATTCTGAGAAACAACTGTTCTTTTGCAAATCGCGTATTGTAGCAGGTAGAAACAATATCTTCGTCACAGGTGAATGATCAGAAAATCCAAAAACAGATGATTTTTCAAAACATGAAAAAAGTAATGATATAAGTTTGTTGTGACAGCAGCGAACTCTTACTGTTAATGAAGAGATGCCCGAGCAGCGACGAATGCGTACAGTGCCGTCAAAGAGGCTATTGTGGCAGCCATGAGGAGTGTTTACTCTGTTGCAAAAAAAGATATTGCGAAAAGTAAAGTGAGATCTGTTCATGATTTTTGCAGAATTCAGGTGAATTATTGTAGATATTTTATTGGTTTCATTTTTTAATTCCATGTAAATTCAAAATGTATACATAATATTTTTATTTGTGTGGAATATCATGTACCAATTATTACTGTAATCTGTAGCACGAGGTTTAATTTACATTTCTAACTAAAATAGCAATATTTTGCTTTCATTTTTTAAAATTATTTTCAGGGGTGCAAGTCCTTAGAAATTTTGCGGCATTCAGACAGAGTTTGTTATACGCACAGTACTAGTGTTGTCTACAGACATTGGCATTTTCAAAAATATCATGATCTACATACGTGGTGTAGTAGATGTAAAGATTGAATCACATTTTTTGAGTGTCAGAGAGGTGAAACATGTCATTGGTGACAAGGGCCTACTTCTATCAAATATAATTTCACTGGGTACTGACGGTGCCAGTGTTATGACTGGGCAGAGAAATGGATTAACAACTCTTTCAAGGAGGACAATTCGTTTATTCTATCACAACGTTGCACTGCACATAAACTTGCCCTAGCCAGTGGCCAAGCTGCCGACTGCATTCCTTACCTTGTTAAATACCAAGCACTTGTTAATGATTTTTATAAATATTATCATTATTCACCCAAGAATCAGAATAAGTTAACTGCTACTCAGAAAATAATGGGTAAGTCAGTTGAAATATCAACAGACATTTAGCACAAGGTGGTTATCATTCTATAATAGTGTTTCAGCAATTTGTAGAACAGTGAGCTCTCTTATCACAGCACTCAAAGAGGATGTTGACAATAATAGGAACAATGCCCGTGTGTCTGGAATTTTGTAGAATTTTGCCAGATTTGACTTTCTTGCTTTGTCATTTTTTTGCTTGATGTGTTATCAGTTTTAAACACCACCTGTTTAGCTTTGCAGTCTGAACATCACATTAATGCTTGTCAAAAACTGTATAAGACTTCAAAACTAAAAAGGGTAGCAATTATCAAACTTTTATTGATACTATAACACAGGATACTACCAATAGAAGTAGAACTCCATGGACATGTTGTAGCCGCCACTAAAGAATCAAAGAGACAATTTTGATGAGTGTGAAATTTCTTAGTTGTCTCTCAGAAAATAGATTCCATGAAGATGATGACCAAATCAGTTCAGCTTTTGATATTCTGGTATCTTCAAAACTACCAGACAACGAAGACCAGATTGCAGAATATGGTACAGCTGAAATAGAAAAGTTGTGTTATTTTATTGGTACAGAAAAGTCAAGTATGTGTGGACCCCCGAGTATGCAAAACAGCTGTAATTAATGAATGGTCTATTTTCAAACATGTGATGCACAAGTATAGATAGCAGTCTTTCACAGATTTTTGGGAGTGGGTTTTGAATAAATATAAATCTGCTTATCCTAATATTTGTTTTTAGCAACTATATGTCAGTGACTTCTGTTAATGTGAAAAGGGTTTTTTCTCGTTATAATATTGTGAAAACGGCACTGAGGAATTCTTTGTACACAAAGAGTGTCAAAACGTTACTGACTTACGCATCAGCTGCTGCATCGCATATTTTCAAGTGTGTAGAATGCAGACAGCTTAGAGGGAAAACTGGAACACAGAGAATGGCAGATTTACCTGTGGATCGCACAGAACCATCTCCGACATTCACATATGTGGAATAGACTGTTTTGGCCCATTTATCCTGAGAAAACGCCGTTCTGATGTGAAGCGTTATGGGATGATATTTACCTGTCCTGCACTTCGAGCAATGCACCTAGAGGTTGTAGAAGAAATGTCCACTGATGTTTTTTTAATTGCTTATGTGCATTTATCGTCATAAGGGGTCCAGTGAGACACATTCGATGTGATAGAGGTTCTAACTTTGTGGTAGAAAATAATGAACTACAATGCGGAATTCAGACTTTGGATAAAGGAAGAGTCAAAGACGTGATGTTACTGAATCATTGTGAATTCGTCTTCAACTCACTAGCTTCAAGCCATATGGGAGGTGTTTGGGAAAGGTCTGTAACAACACTGCGCTGCACATAAACTTGCCCTAGCCAGTGGCCAAGCTGCAGACTGCATTCCTTACCTTGTTAAATACCAAGCACTTGTTAATGATCTTTATCAATATTGTCATCAATCACCCAAGAATCAGAATAAGTTAGGTTAAGTCTGAACGTCCTTGCAGGAATACTCAGTAAAACCGGAACAAGACTAAATACGTCTTCCCTTAGAACATTCATGTATGAGGCTATGGCAATTGACAACAGTCGACCCTTAACTGCCGAAAACTTGAATGATCCAACCGGACTTGCCCTGCTTACACCTAATCAACTCTTAACCATGAAATCTGATGTAGTGTTGCCTTCTCCAGGTAACTTCATCAAGGAAGATTTATTCGCAACCTGGCCTACTTGTATTGGACAAGATGGCGTAAGGAATATTTACTGAATCTTCAATCTAGACTACTATGGGTCCATTATGATTGGACAAAGCGTGTCTTCAGAATATGGAGAACTAAAAATGAGTGGTAAATGACCTGTAAAATAGTTAATCTAAGACCGACTTTCACTCTGACAAAGTGAGTGTTTTTAGAGCCATATGTTTAATCCCCAGTGCCTTAGATTTGTGCATGAGGAATCGCTGGCCAATGTATTATGGGAGATAAACTCCCATTGTATGCATTTATCATTCTGGAAATTCACTCAATTATATGTAATTTATTAAATGTTTAGGATTTATATCAATAATTATATATATTTGTTTAGCCTATGTCACCGAGCACAATTTTGAGATATGGAGAAATACTTTCACTATTGAAACCAGTGAAAAAGTTTGAGCATTTCCATGATATTTTTTTGGTTTTTTCATCTATATCCTGAAGATGAGTTTTAATATGCAGATATTGATTGGCTGAGTACACAAGCACACCTGGGGTTGGGTGATCTGCCCAGAGCTTCGAACCAACGCAGAAGTACATCGATTTCAAAACCCGGGTAGGAAGGAGGAGCTAGGACTCAGTAAAATATGTCCAGATCGTGGTCTAGTGGATATATTTACGAATCCGAAATAAATAAATTCTGCTAGCAAACGGTGTTTACAAGTCAGATGTTCAAATGTCACTGAATTCAGCAATTCAGAAGAAGGCTTATATATTATGTCTACAGTAAACATATATTTTATATTATGTCATATATATATATATATATATATATATATATATATATATATATATATATATATATATATATATATATATATATATATATATATATATATATATATTATGTCTACAGCCCCTTCTCGTGGAATGTATTTGTGGTTCATAAAAACACTCGAGCAAGACATAATATGTGGTTATGATCCTAGGCCAACTTCAGCAAATACTAGATTTAACAATACTAGATTTAAAAGATATACTGACCTGAAGTCTACTTCGACCTTGCCCTCATCTTCCTCCTTTTGCGCTTCAGTCTTCGCATACGTTTCTTCCTCCACTTCGCCCTCGTGTTTATCGTAAGGATATAGTCGAAATGGACGACACAAAATGCAGTGTTTCTATTGACAGCGGTGCGCATGAGGTTCTTTGTGTGAAATAACTGAAAAAATCCGCTAATAGGGGAACGGTAGACTGAGTAAACTCCAGTGTCTCACCGTTGACCCAGGTGATGCACGCCCTCAAACGACGCTCATCTGAAAATAACAAAATGTCATTGGATCCTACAGGCCTTTTAAGCTACGTACGGATGGCGCTCGGTTGTTTAGAAGGTTGGATAATTCGCTCCCTCCTGTATGTGATACAACAACATCAGCGCTGAATAATTAAAGTTGCTGTAAATTCAAACAATTCAAATACATTTGGCCCTTGGTGGCGCTATACATTTCACATGCGACAGCCCCAGTGAAAGAGACATAGCATATGGCAAAGTATTCTTGTACCTGAAAATCATTGTTTTTAATAAATAAAATGGGATACTGTTATATCACAATACACCAACACCGCTCGCATCTTGTATCTATTTTGTTACCAAAAGGATAATTTTGGTCTGATCTTTGGAGATTCAATAATAAAATCTGTCATTTTTTATATTCAAACATCAATGTTTATTCTTTCTTTAATTGGTCACATTCCCCAATATGAGTTCACTGTCTTTACTGTGATGTTACCGATATAATGATATCAATGACCCTGAGACATAACACTGAATTCTGATCAAGCATGACCATAATTGGCATAATTATTCTGACCGGCTTGTTATCATACTTACCCAGATCCAATTAAATGTAATAACTTAATGAAAACAAATAACAAACATTTACAGAGAAACATAGCTTGTTATTTAATACAGGCATATAATATACGAGATAGTATGTAACCTTTACTAGCACTTCTTGTACTTATTATTTTTGTAATATTCTTTGTACATAAGGCCGGAGACCAAAGTACTAAATAAATTATTATTATTATTATTATTATTATAAACAAAACAATGGCTGTTGGACCAAGTTCCAGAAAATATCTCTTGTCTGGATTAGAGGTTAGGCCAGCGAAGTAGGTGACCACTAGTGTGAGCTGGTTCAACATATCAGGCTGCAGGATGCTTGACATGGAGAAAACATCAAGTTTGTGGAACAAGTGAAACATTACTTAACAACGCTGTACACAGTTGACTTGCAGTGAAATGACATTAAGAAATAGGGAATTTGTGTGACTGTAGGCTTGATGTGTCAAATTATACCTGCAAAAAGTACCGCTTTATGAAGTCGCACAGAACTTTACCACAAAAACTAATCCCAATTGGATATTTTGCACTTTTAACTCACAGGACGTTAATGACACGAACACTAATTCTGTACTTCGTAAATGTGAGGCTGCTGGGGAACATTGGTCAGGGAGAAAATAAATTCATTGAAGCAAAAATAAATTTACATGAAAGAGAGACAAAAATATACATAATGGAAATGAAAGAAAAAGAAGAATGAGTAGATTTGAGTTATATAATGAAGTAAAGAACCTGACAAACAGAATACATTGACTATTATGACAGATATACCCCTCTTTCACCGACTGCGAATGTCTGGTGGTCTTGCATGTACTGAGCTACACTTTCTTGAGCAAGGAAATCTCACTCTCATTGTACCATACTGTGTTCCCTTGCTTTATTTTCTATACTCTGTTCACAAAATGCAGCTAAATAAGTTTTCAACTGGCCTAGCCTTTGTAGTTTGTCAGAATAGTTATCCAAACCCCATTCGAATGAGGTCAATATAATGCAAAAATAAAGTAATTGAACGTGATTTCAACCAAAGAAGTTTGAAAAATTGAAAATCTGGACCTCAAATCTCACTTCCGGACTCCAACAACTTATAGATGACAATGTTAACATATAACGCTAAGACCCCATAACATATCCATATGCATTATTACCGTATACAAATATATTATACATACTTCTCACAGAAATTCCATTTTGGTGAAGGGAAGCCCGTCGTAATGATCGAGTGATGGATGATGAATCATAGTTGATTGGGTTATCAAGCGATACAATAACGTTTATTTTCTTTATTGGATTCATTGTATTTTGTATTGGCGTACTTAATTTTAAAAAATTACAGTGTATGTATATTCTTATTGAGATGTCAATGATAGAATTGGTTATGTTAATAAAACAACAGTGTGTCATCAATTCATTTGTCTTACATGTATTATTGTATCTGATATATTGTACAGTAATATAATATATGCTAATATGAACATTGCTCAGCTGAATTCACTGAAAGTATATGCACATGGAAGTCACAGAGAGCTTCGAAATGTGCATTTATGGTCGCAATTTCCAATCTTATATTAATTACGAAATCATGCATCATGGAATTAAGTAAGTGCACAATCTTCCAATATCTGAAAAATACTTTCCTAACTTTCAAACATAAAAGCCTTGTTGGGAAATCAATAGTATAATATTACAGTGAACATCTTAAATTTATGCAAATATGGTTTACGAAATGTTAAAATGATCACATGATTGGTTTGATAGATATTCCAGTGCATTTAAATAAGAATAATGTCTTCTAAATCACTAAAAAGTTAATTAGATGTGAAATTATGTCTCTGATATTATGGTGACCATTTATGATTTATGCAAATTAGGAAAAATTAAGTGTATGATTTCAGGGACTAAAATCCATAAAAATATTCTGTATAGACTTCTAGTCCAAATTCTTGGCTGGCAAATACATATGATGTGTAGTTAATTTTATACAACATTTATTTTGAAATATATATTTTATCAACACATATTTGTATCTTTATTATATCAAGTGTTAGATATTAGGGTTATACATTTGACAACGAACAATATCAGAGCAGCAAATTTTGAACAAGCATTGCACATGTGGTCACAATTTATATAACATATGCTCATACACTAATAGAATTGACCATTTTGACGTCAGGGCATGCGTACACGATGTGTGCTCATATTAATAAGCATATTTCAATAACATCACTTTTAAATCTATTTTCAAAATACATGTATACACAAAAGCAGCTTTCTTGTGACATATAATATTATGGATTTACTAATACGTTTAGGAGTACGTGACATAATGTACATTTTGAGTAATCTATACAAAAAAATCTAATCTTTGTGCTTCGTGTTTTTTTAATTAAAAGCTTGACAGATTTAACAAGATTGTATTATTGATATGAACATAGAATAAAACTTCCTGTCAATGGTAGTTACCCAAATTTAAGCGACAAACACAAACAACAGATGTAAGCTCCTGTGCCTATTATATTGTGACATTTTTGAATAATATATATACCACATTTTGTGACTGCCACACCTTTTAATTTGTAAGATTACCCAGGCTCACATAAAAATATAATTCAATATTGTATAAAAAGCTGATAATGTAATAAATACAGTAAAATAATACTCGACTAATGCTATATTTTGTATGCAAATGGTTTGCTGATATTGAGCTGTTGTTATCAATAATATTCGTTTGGGAATATATTTTATCGTTTTCAACAACAAAATTGAGAAGTAATATTTAGCTCTAAATTTATTTGATGTATTTGATTTGTTGCATGTGATGTACCCCTCGTCCCGCACACACACAAGCTGAAAGGCGATGCGATATTGCACTCTGCGTTCGCTGTAACATTACCGTGATCAGCCACTTCTGTGCCGAGAATATACACGTTATACACTGGTCATATTGATTCATGTCATATTTCAGTGACGTACACACCCCTAAGTAGTATGTGTACTATACTGTACTGTATGTTTGCTTGGATGAATAGAACTGCGTTGGATTGCATTAGCCGCGGTTTGGAGCTTACTCTTGTGAACATAGTAAACCTTC